CAGGACATGGCTAGTGACCATGGCCAGGGGCAAGTGACCCACCCTGGGCTATAGTTGGCTGGGGTTTGGTTACACCAGGCTTGGTCCCTGGCTGAATCAGTGCCTGGGTCGGCTGCCCACAGCCCATCGCTGCCTGATGAAACCTGTGGGGCTGGAGGTGCCTCCACCCCATGTCCCATGTCCTGGTGGTGGGTGCTGAGAGTCATGGGAGGGGTGGCAGGACTGGGTCCGCACTCTGCCCATCCTCTCCCCATCTGCCTTCCAGCTCTGCGTTGAGTTCATCAAGGACACGCTGAGCGTGGAGCAGGTCTGCGAGGCTCTGCAGGTGAGTGTGACCCAGGGGGGACAAACAGGGTTAAAAATAACCTGGCTGATTTTGGAGAAGGAGCAGACCTGACCCTCCTGCTCACAGCTGGACAGTGGGGCAGGTTTTCCTACAACACCCCTGGCCCAGCAGCTGGGCACATTGTACCAGGGCTGAAAGGGCCACCGAGGCCACCAAAGCCTGGCAAAAAAATGTCCCCAAGGCCACGCTGCCCTGAGCAGGGCTGGCCAGAGCTCCCCAGTGCCAGGGTCTTGCCATCACTTACATGAAACTGGGGGGGCACTGGGTTTCTGGGACCTCTCATGGTTTTGAGGCCAGTCCCAAAAACCATGCTGAGAGTTGGGACACCTAAAAATAGCCTTGACGGGGGGAGTGGTGTCCCAATGGCCCTGCTACGCTGCTTGGTGGGACCAAGGCTGCTCCCCAGAGCAGGGGGATTTGTTCCATCTGCCACAGGCTGAAGCAATACTCTCGGGGTGAGTTGCTGGCCCCAGAGCACAGAAGATCCCACCAGATGTGGTGCCAGACCACCGTGGCGTAAACAGAGCTAAAACTGGCCTGGAGGAAACAAACAGAAAACCCCAAAACCCCAGAACAAAACAAACCTGAAGAAAACATCTCGCCTTCCCTCCCAGCTTGCGTCAACACAGGTCCCCTGCCGTGGTGGAGGGGGAGGCGATGCTGGCCTGCCCGAGCTGCTCCCAAGCACCCCACCTGCAGGGGCTGCCACTGCGGGGGGGCAGGGACGAGTCCTCCTGGTGCCCAGGTGGGCAGTGCAAGCCCTGGGATGAGCATCGCTGGGTAGTGCTGGGGAGGATGAGAGCACCCCGAATTCCGGTGCAGTGGGGGATGGCAGCTACGGGGCAGCCTGGGGCTGGCAGCAGGGCATGGGGCACATGTGGGGGGGCTCTAAGCTGACCTTGTGCCCAGGCAAGGAGTGCTGGGGATGGGGGGTCCTACATGCCCGCAGTGTCACCTTGTGAGAGCAGGCCAGGGCCCCTTGCCCACCCAGGGCTGGGTGATGTCCCCGGGCAGTGGTGGAAAATCAGGCGCTTCCGGCTGACTGCAGGGCTGGGTGACCCTTGTGGGCGGTGGGGCCACCAACCCTATTGCTGT